AGTGTACATCTATATAATAAAAAATGAAAGCTAATACTTACCAGAGACGTCAAGTAAGAAAGACCCCAAGACACTAAAATACTTCCTGACAGAAACAGCATAGAAATAACGCCAAATACTAATCGAAGAACAATGCCGATGTTAAAAAAGACGGAGGCAAAGCACAGCAAGCACGTCTCGTATGTAAAGTGCAGATATACCAAAGCGAAAAGATCTTCCCATTGCTTGTTGATCGTTTGAAAAATTTCACATATTTCTGTGTGTTTTTCAGAGATTTTTTGTAATTTTATTTCTAGTGATAAAGAACTTGTATTTGTTTCTTCTAGTTCTTCAGATAACTTTATAAGTCTCTTCGCTAGGATTATTCCAACAACGGAAAATAAAAGAAGAACCGAACATATCTGTCCTGCGAATTGCACGTACAAAAACGAAATGTAAACGGAACATATTGTGGCTTCGACTTTACTTCCCCCGTGTTTTCTTACTGTTGGAAACACAGTGATTGCTGTTGCATTCGAAACTATCAAAACGACAAAAAATACGCTTATAAAGTATTTTAACATAGGCAATTCCATTTGAACTGGCAAATTTTCTTCGCCTTCATAAGTGCTCTTAATGTAATGACCAGAAATCTTGTTTCTTTTCAAAAATGTAAATTGAATAGCAGCGTAGATATTCATAATTATAATCACGGACTTCATTTCTTGCCGATATTTACCGTATACTTTACCAGTATGGTAACAGAAATAATTTTCGCTAAATGTCAATAAACATAAATAAAACGAAGAAAGCCAAAAGAAAATTTCAATTATATCTACGTAAAAGTCATAAAATACGTTTTTCTTCTTCACTGTCCTTCCATTGTTTAGTTTGTCGAAGCAGCTGCACTTTTCAAACGGTTCGATGCCAAAAACCTTAAAAACAGAAAACAGAGGATGAAAATTGTAAGTTATGCAACGATCTGACCGAGTGCAAATGCAACTTGTATTCTTCTTGTTGATGAAAATTTTTATTCTTCGAATATTGTTGATGAATTTTGAAACGTAGTTTCCCATTATTTATTTTCTCCTTATAAATGCTCTAAAATTATTGATGAGATACAAGTGATCAATTTATCTCATTTTAAGTTTATTTGATTATTTTTCGTTTATATGAATTATTTTTATTTTCGGGATAGCATTCTAAAATCACGTATATAGAGTTTTTATTTAATATACAGGCATTTTTTAATTTGGAGTGTTTTTCATTCGTACTTAAATAGTATAATAGGCCATTCCTATAAAGAAAAAATATTCAGTGTGAATTTATATATATATATATATATATATATAGATATAGATATAGATTATTTCAAATCTACGGTTTTGTTTATTCAAACTATTTGTACTTTATAGCATTTTTCGTAAAATATTTTTTTACTTAATTAATTACACGAACTTTCAGTAGTGTAATAATTGATAAACTATAAAGACACATATTGAGTGCTATTAGATGCGGAGTCCTTGGAGGTAGGAGTTATATTACATGTTTTCTTTTTGGTCATCACTCCGGTTACTTGCACAACCGAAGAGAAAATGGAGTATAATGCACTTACTACCTGTCAACGTAAAGAAATTTATACATTGTATAAATGTCAAGCTTTGTTGAACCAACTTACCCGTATCAGAAAATTTTTTCGAATGTAGAAAAAGTCACCGATAGAAATTCCTATTTTCATTTTCCCAAATCTTTTCATGAAACAGTTCACCTAACAATGTTAAAAAACAATTAATAAATTTAAATTTATAATTAATCAATATAATTTTTTCATATTTCACCTTATACTTGAATTCGAGTGACAGGTTGTTTGACGAAAATCTTTGTATAGCAACGAAGTTATCGTAGATCTAAAAAAAACAAACAATTCAAATTTAAACACCAATTGATCATTTAGCGGTCTACCTCCCATACTGTAGTATAGGAGGTTAGGCCTGAGTTAGGCTTATCTAGGGTGTTAGGCTTAGGTTTGCTAAGCCTAACTTTTCTGCTAACTTTAATTTCTAAAGTTCAGCATTTTGGGAGCCAGCCATCTTGCCATCCCCAACTACAGGGCCAGAGACAACAGGAACAGTAGCCATATTGGTGAGTGCAGACTTTTCTACTTTTGGTTTAGGAGGGACCCGCTATAGCAGCAGACTGGTCCCCAGCTAGCCAGGGTTACCACTGGCCAAGCTTGCTTGGCCAACTCCACACCAGCCACCGACCATATAGGCAGGCTACACAGGTTCCACTGGTGTGTGCCAGCAACTGTTGGACAGTCACATATAGCGTCGGGCAGCTCATCTGAAACACCAAGAAGGTAGCGTCAGGCAAGCTCTGTGGACAGTCAACACACAGCGTCGGGCAAGTTTTTAGTGTATAATCCTCAACATCAGCCAAGCTGTTACAGCCATCAGCTGTTACTAGGTCGCCGCCTTTAACCGGTAAGTCTCTCTAAGTTCACCGGCCAACCAATTTCCCCCTCTGTCCGAGGCAGACTACGTCTCCTAGGACAGAGTTTTTTGGCCTTCTGGCACCTTTCCATCTTACCACTTATCACACTACACTCTCCGGTTGGCCTAACCACTGTACACATTCCATTATGTCTACTGTCAATCATTCTCAACCAACTGCCAATGGTCCACCTGAATCTCGTGTCATCATCGACACCCTGGAAGACACTATACTCAAGGAAGCCAACCAGCATTTTCTCAAAATCATGGACTTGCTCCCTGAAAAATACTCATCTATCAGGACTGAGAAATGTAAGGAGGTCNCACGCTATAATCGCGGGAAAGTTAGTCGAAAACACGATCCCGCAAAATTCGCGTTGTCAACATTATACGCAATAACCCATTTGAAATAAATAAGAATAGGTCCTGACATCACAAAAGAGAAAAGAACGTTAAAAGTCGTGTTGTTGTAAAGCTATATTTACTGTACATTGTTATTCTATTCAATTCTGGACATTAAGTTTGATAATCAGTAATATAGTACTTTTTTATTACTTTAGATTTTAATGCACATAGTTAGTCACGTGATATCTGTCAGATGCCACTATGTTTTTCACTTTTTAAATACCGGCGTGCGATGGAAAATTTGTGTGTCGTATTTTTGGCAACTCAGAGAGTTAGGATAGTATAGACTTTTTCATTTTCAGATATTTTTCAAAAACTTACAAAAAAAAACTCGACTTTCCAAGCAATGGCACTTGGCAACAATGGGATGCCACGTAAAAAACAGACCTTTAATCTTTACTAATTTGTATATGCCTGCAGACCAGTAGTCTAATCATTGAGGAATAACTGTGGTTTGAGGAATAACTGTGGTCTGCAATAAATAGACAAACGCTGATATCAGCATCGGGCATAACAATGTTAGCATCTACTAACAACTATATATTAATTTATGCCTATTATTTTGAACATCAAAAATTGTTTTTTTTTTCTATAAATAAGCTCAAACGTGTTATGTTATAAACATTATTCTTTAAATCAAATATACCTTAATTATTATAGTATTAGTGTATTCTAGTGATAACAAATTTTAATACTTACGAAAGATTAATCTTATTAATAGAAATTAAGTTCTACGAGGAATAAATTAGTTAATATAGAACAGACAAGAAACTCCATCCAACGATGCAGTGTGAAAATAAATACTTGAAATTTGAACAATGTCTTCACAGAAAGAAACTGAATACAGCGCATGTGTTCTACCATAATATCTACCGCTACGATTTTTCCTATCTTCTCTGTAAACACACCACTTAATGTTATCTACTACCTTCAATTTGTAAAGCAAACAACCAGAATAGCGGTTTATGCTAAATGAATATAACGAGATTATCATAAATTATATTAATAATTTATAATACCTCTGCAAGACGAAAACATGATCAGTTAAAAATATGAAAAGACCAAAAAGTATTTAATAACTGTATTTCTATCATAACTTGCATAATTATTAGGATCTTTTCATGAATAAATTGTAAGCTTTACTGTATATTTTACCGTTTTTGTGGTCTCAATTACCTAATTCATTTAACATTACATCACGAGATTGATTCCTTCCATTATCGTTAAATAAATTTTTTGCGAGTACTGCTATAAATCAATGTACAATGTGTACAGAACGTGACTAAAACAGATTTTATTACATGGAATAATCGATTGTCACGTTGACCAAGAAATGATTATTAAAAGGTACACGTTTATTATTTTCATTCTTCACTTTTATATTTTGTCGTTTAGTTAAATTTCCTGTTTTTTCCGGTATTCAATACTGTAATTTCAAATATCTGTTCATTCAAACGGGACCTTATAAAATGAACTTGAAATAAAAATCAATATAATATATAGAAATCTTATAGTATCTTCTTCAGTATTAAAACTTATTTTCACTAAAATAAAATAATACTATAAGTAATTAAAAATTATTATTCATAACGTATATTATATTTTAATGGTCGAAAACATAACACACGCGAGCATATTTATTTTAAAAAACATTTTGTATGTTTACAATACAATGTAAATACTTAAATAAATATATTCTCGTTACTTGCGAAGATTGTTCCGCCCAATTGTTTACGTTGTACAAATGTATTTTTTCAAGAAGTTTATGATTAATTATTCATAATAACAATGATGAGTGCATACAAATATAAAATTACATTAATTTACAACATAAGGCTTGGTAGTGGCAAGCGGTCAAGTAAGTGACTGAAAGAACGCACGAACGGCTTAACTAAGCGAATTATACAATACTGAAATTTAAAGACATTTTGTCTATTGAAATTATTATTTTATTTAAAAAACGCGTCATCCAAATAAAGTATGATCTGCGAATTTTTCTCTACGATATAAATATATTGTTCGAACTCAAGATGTGTCAAGCTTAGGGTCAGAGATACCGATTAACAATTTTTAACTTTTGCTTTGTAACGAAAAACACGTGACTTTTTCAATAAAAGATTATTAAAATTTGCGGCTTAGCATTGTGATTTTATGGCGAATTTTACAAGTAATATACTATGAATATCAGTAAACATTTACAGTGGTGCCTCGTATAACATACTTAAGACGTTCCAGGTGCACGCCCGTTAAGTGAAAAGTCTGTTATACGAAACGCATTTTCCCATAGAAATACATGTTAAAACATATACAGTAGAGCCTCGATTATCCGACCCCCCGATTACCGACACCTCGGTTAACCGACTGTTCTAGTCGGCAAATTTCAAATGTCTGCTAGTGATGTGGTGCTACAATATTTTGCTATGTCTTGGCTACTTTAATATTATTTTTACGTGTTTTAGCTGGCAACACTCATTCGACCATGAAAGGGAGCCAGTATTTAAACGAGGCTTAATTTTCTAATTTTTAACGAT